ACGTTTGTGGAAATGAAACACTTGAAGATATTTTTGAAAGTTTTGAGGATTTATTTAGGCGCTCGAATGTTTATCTAGAACATGACAAAGGATAATTCATTTGACAGTATAACATTTCTCCACTAGCTGATTACCATGGACTTGAAATGTACATTGCCAGGTGTGATGAGCTGTTTTTGCACTGTAACCCAACCCTGCAGTTCTTGGGGACTTTTCATGACAGAACTGGTTGCTTGTGCCCCAGGTTTTAAATGTGCAGTTAATTGATCTGCAGTTGTTTGCCTGTTTTGTCTTGCACTTCAAATTAATCCACGGGTATCACTGTTCCAGAGTGTGTGCTTCTGCCTACTGTTACCCTGTGCTGCTGATGTCTTTCCTTTGTAGTTCCGTACTGACATCACCTTAGACACCATTGTTTGTGAAACATCAGCAAGTTGAGCTGTCTTGGGGCATTGAAGATCTTGCCCAGCATGCCCCAGCAATCACCCACCCCCTCCTTCAAAGTCACTGATGCCCCCTGTTGCAGCTTTACGCATGAGGCACACCTGTATTAAAAGCCTTGGCTTTGATATACTTGGTGACCCACATTTACCTAAATGATGAGATATTATTGATTGTCTGCTGCCTTAAGATCCTTCTATTAGGTTGTGCTCTATGGAATAGGGTTTGGTTTTTCTTTCTGATGAAGAGTCTCCTTGCCATTACTTTGACCCTCAGAATGAAATGCAGGCCCAGTTTTCGGAATAGAAAAGTTGGGGAAATGAGTAGGCCCAGCTGCAATTAAGCTCTTATAACCTTCAGTGAGACAGAGTGGTAGTTTCTGCAAAAGTTTTGTTTTTTGTCACTGCCTTCACCTTCCTGTATTATAGGCCTTTATGATTTTTTCCATTTAACTAGAGATCGAAGGATCACTTGGCAGAAATAAAATAATCTTGCTAATCCGAAAGATGTTTGAAAGTTGCGCGTGTGATGAAGTGGGGAGCTAGTGTTCTGCATTGATAACTGAGGAATAACTGCTAGTGCGCTGGAGAACATATGCTGAATGCCTGGCATTCCACAGCAAGAGTTCATCAGTTAACTGCACCCAGCAGCCCTCGGGGGAGGTGAGTGGCTTTCTAAACAAAATACCTTGTCTAAAGGGCTTACACAGAGAAGGCAGGCAGATGCTTGGTTTTGTAAAGTAGAGCTGGAGATTTGTTTTTTCTCAAGCTCCCTATTTGTTCATAGGCGTTGTGAATTGTACTTAATTATTGGTACTGTTTCCAATAGGAAACTGCAGAGCTCCGACAGATGTCTGTGTAAAGTTGCGTATATCCCTCAAAGGAAATAAAGAGTTGTAAAATTGGTTTGTCCTCTGCACAGTATAGAAGGCTTTCTGTTGTGAATATTATAGTAGTGTGATTTGTAATTCCCGGTGTTATGGTTTGTTTATTATTGGGGAAAAATACTACAGTCTCGCAGCTTCTAAATCCACATACCCAAAGAACACGTTTTTGTATGCTTTTGTTTTAAAAATGCTCTGTTCATTACTTGTTCGATTAAAAAGGTAAGCTTAATGACGGCTCCTTGGCTGTAAATAGTGTTATGGTCACTGAATACTGCTGTTTCAGCCTGCTGAACACAACATTAAATGGAAGGTGAGAAATATAGATTTAATATGTAACTATACAAAAGCATGAAGGGTTTCCAAATTTTTTTCCGACTGGAATTTGAAGCTCATCCGAAATAAATACTAGTTCGTTGTCATGATTTATTCCTTCGTTGACTGGTTTTGTCTTCAAAGCTTCTTCTGGAAGGAAAATTAAGACTTTCATAAACATGAGGGCATGGAGTCTCCTTTTTAAGCTTAGCAGGAACCAAAGATGAATATGCCTCATTGTTCCTTTGACTTTTATAATTCAACCTTCCTAGTAGTTTGGAGAAAGCCCACAATGGAATAAAGCTCCTTTAGACACAAAATCACACATTTACTCATTTGTATTACATTTAGTATTCCTAAATGTACATATTGTTATATGTATGCTGTTAATTTGCTGCCTTGTTGGTGAAACTCACTTACTGGAGTCCATGTCATCACATTAGGTTGTGTGTTTTGGCCTCTCATGTAATCAGTGGAGCCACAGAACTGTAGATGTTATTGACGTCATTAGAGAAAATATTTCCTTGCCTGACTACCCCACAATCTCATGAGAAGCATGAATGGTCCTTTTGGTTTAATCCTCCTGCTGGAGTTTTTTGCTCAGTTCAGGAAGCGACAAGCATTTTATAATGCATTGAGAATTATTTACGTGGGCTTAGTTGTAAATCTTAGTTTTTAATACCAGGTTTAATTTTAGATTAACTGTCTTACCACAACAAAGTGCCTTTTCCTCTGAAAAATAGCAGCTGTCCATTTGATGTGTTGTCAGATGTACTCCCTGGCTGTGCCAGAAACTGCACATGGTGAAGCTTGGTTCACAGATTGTGAAACTACTCTAGAGTATTGGTACCCCTTATGGAGTTTACGTAGGAACCAAAGAACAGGTCTAATTGTTTCAAATACTAGAAATGGAACAAGGAACTCTGGAGATCTGTTAACTAAATAGTGTAACAAATCTTGCACATGCTTTCTCCTTTTGAAAACTTACAAATGTATTTTATTTTTTATTTAGCCACTATTACAGGTATTTCTTTTGTGACTGAATGTTAAAATGCATGAACATGATTATTGGGGGGGAAAAAAGATTATTGTAGTGTTACTTTGTTGAATTCCTAAGAATTTACTGAATATTAAGGATGTATATCAAGACGGAAGAAATTAAAGCACAGTGTGAATTAGTTTTTAGACCTGTTTTTTTGTATATGAAGGAAAATAATTGTATTTTCTCTCCTGACTGGTTCATATACATTAACTTTTACACTTGTTTCGAAATCCTTACATCCGAGCACCAAGAACATTATTGCACTCTCATTATTTTATATCTGTCACAGCTCTTAGTTTCACAGTTCATTGTGTTGATCTGCTCAGTCCATTTTCTAAGAAATATACTGAACCAACGTGGGAATGTTTTAAATGTTCAAAACTGAAGTTTGTACAATGTCACCTTTTGTTTCATTTAGAGTTTGAAGTTGCTACTACAAATACACAATTTGATCTTCTGCTGTGTTTGTGTAATTTGAGGTCATTTGCTGTTTGCAGCATTTTTTTTTGGTGACTGTTACTTTTCTAGGTCATGCCTTCCCCTCTTTACAAGATCACAACTCTTGCTTGTGGAAGCCTTCCTATTTTGATGATATTCTGTCTCGCCTTGTGCACGGGAATATTTTGTTTTCTCTAAAATGTTAAATTGCAATTAAAGTTAAATTAAAGCAGTCATCTCCTAGCAATGTTTAAATAGCATTGCGGTGTGCCTAGTGAAACAAGTGAGCAATATTTGTGTCTTTATGTTTAAAACCAGATGCACATCAAATTTAGAACTCAGCAAGTAGAACACTCACTAGTGAAGTGAAGCAAAATTGCACAGATAACATGAAGCTTGAGGTGCATAACTCTAAAAAAAAAAGTACATTTGTAGTTTTTAAAGAACATGATGGTAGTGCAGTTTTAACTCTTCCTTTTACAGGAAGAAGAAATAAACCTGTTAATATTCCAAGCATAGACGATTGTTTTAACCCCTTTAGATATGCAGTGGATGGCTGTGTTCTAGCATTCAATTTCCTCCAGTCTGTCAGCAGAACTTCTAAGCTGTTGCAGGGGGAGAAAGTTTAGAATAATTTCCTCACTAATACACAATATATAAATAAGCCCAGCTAAGGAATTGAGAAAGAAGACCTGCTTGCCACTTCAAATTTCGGAGACGTTTGTCATTCGTTTATTTACAGTGTGACTGGTTAAGTTTTATTAAATCTGTGACTGACCCAGCTATTCTGAAAAATACATATTGGGGGGGAGAATTACAAGACAAAAAGATAAGTCTTGAATGGGCAGTAACAGTAGATACATCACTCTGAAGTATGTTTAGCACTGATTTCTAATTACCCATTAATTCCTTCAATGTTTGTGTAAGCCCAAAAATTTGGGAACTGGAGGAAACTGAATGCTAAAAGTTAGTGGTGCGATGTGGAGGAGTACACAACATATATGACTGCTGTTTCCAGCTGGAGTATACTGAACTCCACTTGTGTGGGTCTTGTGCACAGTTACACTGTTAATGTTTAAATGTTGTTATTTCTTACAGGAGAAACATTCATGCCTTGGGCTGTTGACTTGCAAATTGTTGTTACCTGTCTGGTTTTAAAATATGAATCAGCACGTATCTTTGCTTGTAAGTGTCGGCCCTTGTCAAGAAATCTGAATAATTCCCTTAATTGTAAAACTACCGATGATGGTGTTTACCCTGTTTTAAGCACTATGTATAATTATGTTGATATGTTTTTTTTTCTCGCTCCATGCGTAATCAGCAGCTTTAGTGCTTTTTGGGAGTCTATTGTTTTGCTGCTCGGTGCAAACGGCTGTTTTTGAGGACAGCCACATGTGTACAGGTTAATAGCTGTTCATGTCATAGTGTGAGCAGATGTTTTGGTGTTTGTGAGAAAAAGTCCTGCTTATTCATTATATGATGTTTGGAATGACATCACCACTTAGGAAATCTAGTGCTCCTGAGAGCAGATGAATTGCTGTATTTGCAGTAGCACTATAGCATGTGCTCTTGAGCTTTGTACAGTTGCTTGGCTACTGAGTGCATTGAATGCATATACTAGAACTGCACTACAAGCTTCCAGGCCTGCCTTCAGTACAGCACAGGTGAAATAACCGTGTCTTTAAAATTGGTTCATTATCGTTTAAGCCTTTTTTTCACACGTGTGTGTGTATATATATATATTAAGCTCATACTGCTATTCAAAGAAGAGCAGTGTGCTTGGAATCCACAACCCACACATTCAGATGTGATATACAGTTGTGCATGTGGGTTTGCACCATCTAGAAATTAATTTCTGATTTGAATTGGTGTGTTTTTCAGATGCTATGCAAGCCTGCTGCCCTTGATCTTCTGAATATGAAGGAGTGCTACAGGAAATAAGTGTCTCAAGGTGACATCAGGTAAGAGATGTGTCCTGCATTATAGAATGAAGGAAGGGGGGAGGGGGACTGCTGTATAAATGCAGAGGTAGAGCAGCAGAAGTGTTTTCCCTTCTGCATCACAGTGCTGCTAAGCAATTTCTCAGTGATATTGAGATTGGTATAGCCGTTCTTTTAAACTCTAGCACTATCATTTTCTTTGGTAAGTTTTCAATGATCTGGAAAAAAAAAGTTTAGAATATTTTCGATTCTTTAAATGAACTACTAGAAATTCAGTTGACAGTGCTGTTACTGATCATGTACAAGTGTCTTAAAAGGTGGGCGGAAAGTTAATTTCTTGAAAAATGAGTGGCTTTTTGCCGAAAAAGAATATTGTAGCACTCACGGTGCTCTGCAAAATATAGTGCTAAACAATGTGTACTAAAACCCGCCTGGAATATTTTTAACCCCCCCACATATCCTTGCATGGCCTTACTTTTAAGTTCATTCTGGTCAGTCTTCACTTTAATGAGGTGAAATGATGTAAACAGAAGATCTAGCTGTCGCTAGTTGGATTATTCCTGTGGCATTCTGTGTTTGTGTTTATGCCCTGCAGAATACAATATGGAATTAATGTCCGGCCTTGGTCTTGTAAAGCGGGCTCTGCTCACACTCTGAAGTGGAATAAGATGCTCAGTCAGAACAAAATGCCCTTTAAAGGCAAGGGGTGGGTAAGCATGGGCCTGGAAGGCTAGTATGTCTGCAGGTTCACATTCTTACCCAGCTCTTAGTTTAAATCAGCTCATTAAAGGCTCAAGGGGGCCAATTTATCTGCCTCTCCCAGCTCTTCAGGTGCTTGTGTGTTGAAGAGACCCAGAAAGCCTGCAGGGGCAGGATTACTTAGCCCTGGTAGAAATATTATTGCTGTCCAACATCGTGAGATCAGGTTACTGAGCTGCCTTCGTCAAGTTATCACTGCAAGAGAGGAGAGAGAGCAAGTATCTCTCACTTTGTTTTTGGAGAGGCAGCTGACCACTCAGAATGAAGGCGAGTCAGGTGTTCACCCGGACTGATGCCTTTGGCTCGTCAGTTGGGTCTTCTGTGGAGCTGCTGTCCACACAGTAGGCTTATGTGATTCAATTGAAATGTTCCTCAGTTTTAAGGGAATCATCACCTTGGGAATCCTCTTGAAGTTCACGTCACCATTTCCACTTGGTGGTGGGGTGTGTTTTTTTAGAGAAGGCAGTGCATGGAGTGTGTGTGGACGCGCTGCACGTTTGCCTTCAGAGAGCTAAGATGCTAGACTGCTTGCTAAGATCAAGCTAAGCTGAAGGTTTTGTTAATTGCTGTTATCCTGTGGTTTTGCAGTTGTAAATAAAGCATCCGTCTAGTTGTGGTGCATGTGCATATGCAACATTTGCAGTTTCTTGGGGGAATCCATTTTCACTTGTCAAGCTATGTGGGTTAAGACGGGCCTCTCAACAATGTGATCCAATGTTCTAAAAAGTCTCTGGCGAGGCAGTGGGGAAAAAAGCAGCTCTTATGACCCATCGAGTCAGCAATCTAATTCTAGTCTGGTTTGATCCTTATTTCATCCCAGTATCTTGGAAACTGCAAACTCCAGTTTCCCTGCAGTGCCATTCACACTGGCTTTCTGCACACTAATTCAATGTAAAAAAACTGCAGATTGTATGTTGACTTGTGGATTGGTGGTTTGTAAGTAGTCAACCACTCCAGACATGTCTGAGATGCTAATTGAGGATAGTTTGTAAATGCCACCTGTTCATTCTAAATTGTTTTATAAACATGGTTGTATATTGTATTGATTTATTTGTACAGATCCATAGGTTTTACATCATGGACAGTCTTTAACAACTAGCTTATTACTGAGTGTTACCACTAATGTTAAATGAGGATTATGTTTGGCATATCTTCAGTTATTAGTTTCAAATTTAAAATAGGTAGGTGACCTGTGTATGGGTACCAGTATAGAAGAACTGTGTTTTTTTTATCTAGTCCCTAAGTCAAACCTTTTTATTATAAGTTGTGTACACCAGTATGATTCTGCAGCTTTGGTTGGAACTTCCTCTCTTTTCCTCTAGAAATAAAAGCACTTTTTCAGAAAGAAATTACACCTGTGGGGAATTGTATACCAGAGAACACAATAGTGCCATTGAAATTCTCACATGAAGTACAGCATGAAGTTTAACGTACTGGTTTCTGTGCCTATTTCAGAACAATTATGGGATATCCTGTCCTGCTAAATGAGCTAGCTGATGGCCTTTGTCTTACTCCAAATATGTATTTTCTTTTGCTTTAATGTAAAGAATCTTTTTTTCTTTTCCTCCACCCTTATTTTTCTCAAAGATTCTCGTGCCAGCAGAAAGACATGACTGTTTCAGTAGGATCCCGATAGGTGCTTAGCTCAGACGATGATTAATCAAGCAAAGCATCTGTTAAGACTTTGTGTTGGACTCCTACTACTGCTTTTCCACACAAATGAATCCTTTGATATTATGTAAGAATTCTGAATAATACTAAATGACACTAGTTCAGTGCTGCATACTCATGTACTGTACAAAGGGTTGCAAAGTACGTGTAGGATTTAGTGACTAAATCTTTTTTTTTCTGATTTGAAACATGAGTCATTAAAGCAGACTGGTAATAGGTACATAATACTTAGAAATATAACGATTCATAATTCCATTTATGTAGCACTTTCCGTGGTGAAGCACTTTACCTATAGGAGGGGACCCGCTTCATCCACCAGTGAAGTGGGCGACATGCAGCAGCCATTATATGTTAGTAGTTCTACACAGCAGATCAGCAAGATATTGCGTCATCCATCGAGTTGACATTTAGGTCACATTGCGTTCAAAGTGGAATCTACTTTATGTAATATGGTAAAGAAGTGTTCGCCTGCTCTTCCTCTTATTTGAAGAGTGTGAGGACTAACACAATGTCAAGTAAGTCCAGTTTATTGTTAAGGTAAAAATTCACTTGTGCATCATATACAGCTGTAGCAATACTGGGTCTGCAATTTAGATTTTCTGTTTGACAGGATACCATGTTTTTTTTCCTGTTGGCAGGTGGCTAATGTCTTGTATTTCCTTACATCACAACAGTTTTAACAATGTGACATGAGTGCAGCTGGCGTTGCTTTGACAATATGGACAATACCCATTTTCAGAGCATAATGTCTGTTCTTTAAACTCCTTTAATGGGTGACTGCTTATTGACATTAGTCAGGACACTGTCAGGATTACTGGATTAGTTGAAAGGTTGTTGTCCAGGAGTAAAGAAAATACATTATTAGAATGATTCTGCTTGTCTATAGTTTTCCCTTTAAAGATCTGTCAGGTCCCTGGATTTTATTGAAGATTTTGATTTTGTGACTACAAGCCTGCATAACGAAGTTCTTGAAACAACTGGTTTTGCAGTAAATGCTGCCCCCCCCCCTGTTAAGTATAAATGCTTGTGTGGTCAGCAAAACCCTCTAAATATTAACTGAGTATTCTACCAACTGCATGTTTTTTCCACCCCTAAAGTAACAGACTGCTGAAAAAAGGGAATGAGTTTCTGATGCTAGCTTCCAGGTATGTACTGGCGGCACTTCTTGTTGACTTGATCTTGTATAAAGCCGCCTTTTCTGTTTGTGGTTCTAACTTGTTTTCTAAAAGTTACTTAATGAAATGAATGCAGGTTTAGGATTGCATTTCCTTTGTAATGCTGCTTTTCACCGTGTAATCAGTCTGAGGTCTTCTTGTGCAAGATTTTGAATTGCATTGGAGCACTCGATGTGGTGGGGGGGGCAGCACTTTTTTTTTCTTGGTAATCAGCTCATAATTCTCAATTCTTCCTAATTAGTGTCGTTAGTGGCTGAGTGGGATCTATGCAGGGTCTTGTCTTGATGCTTCCAGTACACCAAATGCTGTTTGTTCTTGTTTCGAAAAAGAGGAAATTATGGTTTGACTCTTGAGGAACTGCTGACATGGTGCAATATGATCTATAGATCTCAGAACTGAAAGATCCTTCAAAATCCCCCCCCTTTCAAAATGCTTTCTGGCATTTTTTAAACTGACAAAAATTGATATAATTTTAGTTACAATTTGTTTGGGGCATCAAACCAATTGTAGTTTAAAATGGCTGTATAAAATGTGTTATACAGAAAGTGCTGTAAGAAGTTATTAGCCTGAGTAGATTTCTTGTACTTAAAAAAAAAAAATCATGCATTTGTTGAAATAAAAGCTTGGTGTATTGGCTGAAAGATGGATGTATTGCTTTAACAGTGCTTTTGACCGCCTGTATTTGCCAATAGTCTTAAAAATGCTAATCTGTTTTATGAAGAGAAAAAATAATTTGGACGTTTAAATGTTGTTGTTTTTTCAGGAAATGGACTTAAACAATTACTTGAAGCCATGTTTGACATGGGGATTGCGAACATGAGTCTGCTTTTGTATCTTTTGCTGTTTATGTATAGGTGAAGGTCCAGTATGATATTTTTAAATGCTATGTGCACTCCTCGTTGAATTTTTTTTTTTCCATGTAATCCTCAGTATAAGCTTACGCTGTGATTGTACGCCTTGGGGTTTCGTAACCACATTGTGCCCCTCTGCTTTCAGAATTTTCTCCAGTTTTCTACAGTGTTTACCCCAATTTAAGCAGATGGATAGCTGGAGTATTAGTCTTTTATAAATGTTTTTAGAATTATATTTATAATGTGTTGTTTGAGATGAAGTTTTAGCTCGTACCAAAGAGCCCCAGAATAATCAGCAATGGAATTTGTAGAGTCTGTCTGAGCATGCTTCTGCTTGCTCAGGGTTGCCTGTTATGGACAAGACACTGGTGCACAGGCCCTCTTTCGCTGAATGCTAACTAGGAGTGGCTGGTCTGAGGAGGCCAGACTCCAGAAGTGTTTTCCCTTTCTGGAAATTTGAGCCCTGAAGTAAATGTTCTGCTGCATGAATTAGTGTATTTCACTTTGACATAGGAGCCTTAAGCACGTACGGTGGTTATAAAGCAAAGGTGGTAAACATTTCAGA